AGTCCTATACCATCAAGAATGGACACAATAATTTTAACAGAATATATTTTTTTAAAGATGTGGTCAAAGCCCACCGAATTATTAAGAACAAAACAATTACTTAAAAGATTCACCAGGGCACTTGGGTGGCTCAGTGGGTTAATTCTGTGCCTTTGGCTCAGGTCATGATCTCAGGGTCCTGGAATTGAGCCCTGCATGGGACTCTCTGCTCAGACGGGAGCCTGCTTCCCCCCTTCTCTCTGCCTTCCTCTCAGCCTACTTGTGATCTCTCTCTGTCAAATAAATAAATAAAATCTCTAAGAAAAAAAAAAAATTTCGCCAAATGTTTATAACTTCTAGTGACATACCTTCTTCATATATTCTGCAACATAAACTAGTTGGCATTGGCAAATACCTGCTAAGGTAACTGAATGAGGTAATTCGCTGTTTGGGACAATTAGTTTCAATTCAATTAAGACAGTGACTTTAATTTGAGGATGATAGCTCCACAGCCCTTTTCTCTGGTAGTATTTGTGGTCATCAGAGCCCTTTACTTATCAAGACAGTTTCTAGATCATGGTAATGCAATCATATGGTCTGCTTACATAAGAATGCTTGTGTCCGGGGCACCTGGGTGGCTCAGTGGGTTAAAGCCTCTGCCTTCGGCTCAGGTCATGGTCCTAGTGTCCTGGGATCGAGCCCCACATCGGGCTCTGTGCTCTGCAGGGAGTCTGCTTCCACCTCTCTCTATCTGTCTGCTTCTCTGCCTACTTGTGATCTCTGTCTGTCAAATAAATAAATAAAATCTTTAAGAAAAAAAAAAAAAAAAGAATGCTTGTGTCCTTTGACACCACCAAGAGATATCGGACCATTAAGGAGTGACTTACTGCCCTGGAAATACTGATTCCTCTAGAAGACATACCACCAGGCTTTGTGGTATAAACGGGGAGATTCTATATGGGCAAGTATACACAGGGATTGCAGTATTGAATTCATAACAGTTTTAAGTGACTCCTGCTAAAAATGGAAACTGATGTTCCTGACCAGTTTTGCTTAGCGATGCTAAAGAATGTAACAATGGTCTGTAGTGGAATGGTTTTGTGATCAGTGTTTTGTAAAACAGTGAACCTGCAAAGCCCAGGTTTGCCATTTATTAACAAGGAAATTTACATGTCATTGTTTGTAACAATAAGGTAATGACCAAAAGGCCTGTTGTTTGGGATTAAATCAATTACACTAAAAAAACAGTGGATTACTCTGCAGCCATTAAAGTGGAAAGAAATAGAATGGTGTGTCTGATATTGAATGATTACTCAGATATAATTCAAATGAAAAATAAAGTCAAGGGGCACAACCATATGTATAATATGCATATTTGTGGGGAAAAGGAGCTAAACGGAGAGTATGTACTTGTATAAACAAGTTTTTACAAGGAAAGCTGAGATGCTTTTGTGTAGTTGTCTATGCGTAGGGGCACTGGGAGATCTAGTATATGGGTTTTTTTTAACATTTGTATAAATGTTCAATAAATGTTCAATAGATCTAATTTAAAAGGAAGTAAGGACTATCTCTTCTTTAAAAGAAATCGCTTTTACTGTGAAATAAGTACAAAAGAAAATGTATATAGTGTGTGTAAGGTATAAAGAGTAACTGTGCAACACATACTTTTAGATCCACCACCTGGTTAAGTAACAACATTTCTTTTGAAGCCCCTTATATATTCCTTCCTAATCCCATCTCCTTTCTTCCCCCCGCCCTTGGAGAAGTGATTGATTACTTTTGCCAATTTTGTTTTTATTCCTTTGCTTCTTATTTTTTATCACTAAAATTTGTTTCACTAAGTGATGTATTACTTAGTGGTGCTTTATTATAAACTTTGTTTGCATAGGGTTATATTATTGAATTCTTCTTTAGCACACTTTTTTCACTTAACATGATGTTCCTGAAATACATCTGTGTTGGTACATCAGTAGTTCATTCAGACTTACTGCTCTACAGTATGCCATTGTGTGAGTGTAGAGTTGTTCACTCTACTCTTGAAGGACATATAGCTGCTGTGTGTACAGTTGGCCACAAGCCTTCTGGTGCCCACGTTATTAGGCCACTTACCCTAGAAATAGCATTTGTGAATCACTGGCTAAATACATCTGTGGCTTTCAAGAAAATGCCAGATTATTTTAAAAGTTGTTTTAGTAATGTTTGTTTCCATCAACAGTGGGAGTTCCAGTACTTGGTATTATCAGACTTTTCAGTCTTTGCCAGCTGATATAAAATGGTCTCGTAGTATGATTGAGCAGCTTGTATTTATTGGTCGCTAATGTTTATTTTCTGTGGATTATATTTGAATAGGTTTTATCCATTTTTATGTTCAGTTGTTTGTCATTCAACTTATTGATATCACTGGAGTTCTTCATATATTCTCATACTGATTACATAATCCTCAGTTATACGCATTACATATTTTCTCCCCGTTTGGGGCTTGGCAAATAAAAATGTTTACTCCCATTATTTTAGAACCTTTTTATTATGGGAATTTTCAACATATGTAAGAGTGAAGAGAATAGTATAACTAACCCTTGCATATCCATCGCTGAACTTCAAGAATTACCAACATTTTGCCAATCTTATTTTGTCCATTTCTTGTCCTCCCGAGGTCACAGGCATCATGTCATTTTTCCCATAAATACTTCAGGTTGTGTGACTGATTTGATAAGAGAGTTTAAAAAGAAATACACCATGCTATTATCATGTGTAACAAAGTTAGTAACTCTATAACCTTCAACTTTTCCTAATTGTCTTAGAAATGTCTTTTTATAATTGGCTTGTTAGAATCAGGATCCAAATGGGGCCCGCATGTGTTTAGCCTTTTAGTCTTTTTTATTTCATAATGTTTGATACTCTTCCCCTGCCAAAAATACTTTGTATGTGTATTATTTTCTGTTTTTATTTGTACTTTTTTGTGTGTGTAAAATTTTTTTAAAAATTAACTGATATAGTTGAATATATATAAATTATTATTTTTATTGGAATTGCATTGAATTTGGTGAGAATTTCCTCTTTATAAGATTGAATCTTTTTTAAAGAATACTGAATCTTCTTATCCATGAACATGGCACATCTCTCCTATTTAAGGCCTATATCTTATGGCATCTCCCTGTTAAAATTATGACACACCAATGTAGAAGAAAAAGAATCTTACACCTGAAACGAATGCAACATTGTATGTCAACTATACTTCAATTAAAAAAATAATAAAATTTTAAAAGGAAAAGAGAACCTTTGCCTCTACCTCACAACATACACAAAAATTAATTTGAGATGGATCATGGACCTCAAGATAAAAGCTAAAACTATAAAACTCCTAGAAGAAAACAGAATGTCTTTGTGATGTTGGGGTAGGCAAAGATTTCTTAAGCTACAGAAAACATGAATCATAAAAAGAAAAAAATTGATCCAATTATTGGATTGAAAACTTCTGCTCATCAGAAGACATTATTAGGAAAATAAATTGACAAGCTACAGACAAAGAAGGTACGTGTAGTGCATACATATGACAAAGGAAGCAAGCAACCTAATGTGAAAACAGGCAAAAATTTTGAATAGCTACTTCACAAAAGACAGTATCAATAACCAAAGCACAAAGAGTGTTTAATATCATCATTAGTCATCAAGGAAATGCAAATCAAAGCCACAGGAATCTACCACTAGGATGGCTAAAGTGGAATAAAGAGAAAGACAACAGCAAATGCTGGAAGGAACACAGAACCACTAAACTCTCATTTAATATTGGTGGGAGTATAAAACGCCCTCATGATTTGGGGGAAACTGTCAGTTTCCTAAAATGTTAAACATACTGAAATGTTATTCTCAGATACTTATTCAAAAGAAATGAAAACATGTCCACAAAAACCTTGTGTAAGAATGTTCCTAGCAGCTTTATTCATAATAGCCTACAAGTGGAAACAGCCCATATCTGTCAAGAGGAGAATGGATAAACAAACTTGTATATTCATATAGAGGAATAATACCCCACAAAAAAAGAAACTATTAATACACCAAGTAACATGGATAAACTTTAGGCTGCGTGAAAAAAGCCAGACACAAAAAAATTATGTAATGTATTATTACATTTATATGAAATTGTAGAATAGACAAAAACAAATTGTAGAGTTGACTGGGAAGGGGCACGAGGAAACTTTCTGGGATGATGGAAATTTTCTGAGTCTTCATAGGAATGGGTTACATGAGTGTAAGCATTTGTAAAAACTGAACAGGTCTTGTCAGAATTCAAAAGTAGTATTTATAAAGATGGAAAGGTAATCCTCACAGGTGTCAGCTAAGATCGGATGTCCAAAACCGTATATACCAAATCCGTGCCTCTGATAACCGTACTCTAGCCCAGTGGTTTTCAGCTGGGACCGTTTTACCCCTCGGGATACATTTGGCAATGTCCAGAGACATTTTTTTTTTCCAGAGACATTTTTGATTGTCATGACACGAAAGGGTGGGGATATTACTGGCATTTGATGGGTAGACTCATCGGAGGCTGCTAAACATCCTACAGTCATGTGACACCACCCACACCAAAAAATGGTCTGGTCCAAAATATCATTGGTGCCAACTTGGAGAAACCTGTTCTAGACCTGCCCTTGTTACAGAAGCTGTTAGCCTTAGCCAACCCGATGTTGACTATATGTGTAGTCCAAATCAATTGTAGAAAACTTGGCATTTGCACAGATTACATATTTCTTCCCCAACAGAACTTAATATCAAATATTTGTAAATACACATAATCTTAAATTTTGAGATAAAATTCCATGTGTTAAGAGCACTTCCAAAATCAAATTAAATGTTTTGTTTTGACTGATTGTTAAATTTTTAAGATGAGGTTTGTTCTCAACTTTTTTTATTAAATATTCAAGCAAATGACCTTGGCTATCTTCCTTTAAATAAAATAAAAAGGCTTTATTATTAGATCAGAGGAAATAAATGATAGTAATTTGTTTTTCTTCCCTTTACAGAATGACAGGCAGCCAGTTTTTTTCTCGTTTCCCGGAACTCTATCCCTTTCTTCTCCAACAGTTGGAAGCTGTAGCTAATACTGTGGACAGGTAAGAAGAGAAAAGGGTGGGACACAGTGAAATCAAGGAAGTGAATTACTTCATTAATCGAGATTTTTCCCTCCAGGCAACATTTTTTAATCAATTCCTTCCTTATAACTTAGATGGATTTTTTTTAAGTGCTTTTTTATTACATCCTTTTGCCTGACTCTCTACAGTAGATTTGTACCTGAAAAGTTGTATAAAATCCTGTTTTTTGTTGTTTGTTTGTTTTTGTATAGAGGTGGAGTGGGGAATGAGAGGGAGAGAGAGATCTTAAAGCAGGCTCCAAGCACAAGACGCAGGGCCCTTACGCCTCTGAGATCATGACCTGAGCTAAAATCAAGAGTTAGACACTTAACTGATTGAGCCACCCAGGAACCCCTAATACCCTGTTTTTATGATATTTTTTATATTTTTAAAATCCTGTTTTAGATTGTTTTTTTTTCGCATTCTGTTTGCAGGGGACATATTTCAGAAAACAGCTTCTTAGAAACACAGCTTCTGAAAAGCATTTTCTTCCCATGATATTTAAAAATCTCTGTGTTTGCTGTCACAGACACCAGCCATTTTTTTCTTACTGACCTGTTAGAGTTGACCATTATGAGAGTAAGCAAATAGCTGGTTGGTCTGGAAGAAGCACTGGCATGCTTGACCCTAGAAACAGAAAATAAAGCCGTTCAGAGAGCTTCCCGTCTGATCAGGGCACATAGAAAAGTTTATCACTGCCCTTTCAATCACATCCTGTGCTGATAGTGGAATTTTTAGAACATGTGCTTTTTTTATTCTTCTAGCCACATTTGCACTTGATATGAATTTATACTCATTATCTTTAACGGGGAGGTAAAATTAACATCAATGAATTTTACTTCTGTTCATGATACATTCTCTCACATTAGTAATTTGTACAGACAGGCTTTTCTGGCCCCCGTAGGTGACCATTCAAGCTTTCCTAAGTGCATTTGGCTGTTGAAAGTTTCACATTTCATACTGTGGGACTCCTTTCTGCTGTATGAACGGCTCAAATCAAAACACAGACACAAATTAACAATTAGCTTTGAGAAGAGACTCGTGTGCTGGAGCCCAATCAGTGGCTTTGCGGTAGCTCTTCCTTATTTGTGCGTTAGGGATATATGAAATGAATGGAGGGAAAAAAAAACAAGAAAAGGGGAACGATCTTCCAATCATAGAGCATCTCACTTTATATTCATAATCATTTAATGAGAAAAATGTTTGAAGGTAACACTTTGCCTCTTAAATTATGTCTTTTACATGCAATTTTTTTTTTCAGTGACACAGGAGAACTCAACCGCCATCCAAGCATGTTTCTCTTACTTTTGGTGCTGGGGAGACTCTACCCTTCCCCGATGGACGGCACCTATTCTCCTCTCAGCATGGCGCCTTTCATTCCCTTCATTATGAGGTAGTGTGTGCTTCGCGGAAATAATGGGGTGGGCATGGGGGCGCTATGGGGTATTTTAACTTGTTTCCACTATCGTTGGCTTTTTGTTTGTTTTTGTTGTTTGTTTGGTTTTTTTGCTTTGGGAGAGGTCTCGATGAAAGCTAGGGCCTGGGGTTAGTTGCCATTGTCCCCAGCTGGTCTCCAGTGTTTCAGAAGAAAGCGCTTCTACCGTAGCCATAGCCACTGCTGAAGTCATGTTCCCCAGGCACTCTGCCTGCTAATGGATGTGTGGTGTTGATAGGAGATGCCTGCTGTTGAAAAGCATAGCCTGGGAATTTGCACTGTCCCTGTGTTGAGCCTAGCCAGCCTGAGGCAGGCTTGGTCCTGGCATTATATCCCCTGTCCAAGGGTTGAAGAGGACATTTGCCCTTCTCGCTGGAGGAGTTTGCTAGTGCAAGGCCGTGCTATGTGGCACAAGTTTCCTTCCTGCTCATCTTCTCTTTCAACCCTGGAGCACCTGAGAAAAAGCCGTGCATACAGATTTTGGAATCAGATGATAACAGGCTTTTGTGCTCTACAGCCTAAGAGCCACTTCCTCTGTTGCAGTTTTTGAGGTATTTGCCAACTTCTGATCAGATCACCTTTTTCACTTTCGATCAAAGTCCTCAATAAATAGACGTTTAAGAAGTCTTAAAAATTTTCTTATGGAACATTTCAGAAGCCCAGTCATATTAGTTAGCTCTCGCCGTCCTGCTCTCATCTTGGTAAAGCAGCATTTTCACTTTTATTTATGTACCAGAAATTGAGATAGACTTAGAGCAGAACGTCAAGATTCGCCAAACTCAAGAGAATGTGTTTGTTATTTATGTGGCATCCCAGGTTCCACTTCCTGGTTTCACAGAGCTGACTGATGCATTTTAATGTAAAAAACCATTAAACACAAGATGCTGGCATGTGATTGCTGTGGCCATTTGTTTGCCCCGAGCTCTGGCTGGGGCTGTGTTATCTCTGATCACAGAGATGACTCACTCAGATGGGGTTTTTGTTTCCTGATACACAAAGTTACCAGTCTCCTGGATCCGGCATGGGGTGATTCATTTTAGGAATTTGGGTTGTAAATTTTACATTCAGGAGCATTTAAAAATTGTACTTTCACATATAACTGGAAAGAACTAAAAAATGTTTCAGAAGGTTGATGGGGTGGGGAAGGAAAGATACGTGCTCAGCATCACAGAAGGACAGGTTTTAGAACTTTGTCATCCTGTGTTGAGAACATTCAATCCATGGAAGCTTATTACTAATCAATCTGTTATGTGTTGCATCCTAAAAACCAGAAATTACTACATTGAAAGTATCTTTCCGGTTTTTTAGAGTCTACATATAATCAGAGTGCTCGTATTACTAATTATATGCAGAGCCCTCATTATATAACAAAGATTGCATTAATGTAGAAGATTTAAATATTGCCGTAAAGCCAGTGTCCTTCGTGTATCGTTTTGTTGTTTTCTTTTCTTTTCTTTTTTTTTTTTTTAAACTCAAAAGGCACAAGGTGTCCATTATACTGTCCTTCCAGGGAAAATGCCTTGGTCAGTAGTTGCTTTCTACCCGAATAAACATTCATAGAATCCCACCAACAGCACAAGTACCACGATTGATTCCTTAGAGTGTCAGTAGGCTCTGTTTATTATTCTATACCCCAATTCATTTGTGGTAGAGAACAGTGTTTCTCAAACTTCAAGAGGTAACCCTATCACTTGGGGAATCTCATAAACTTGGATTCATTAGGTCTGGAGTGGGGCCCGAGGGGTCTGCCTTTCAAACAGACTTCTAGGTAATGCTGATCCTGCTGGTCTGTAGATCATACTTTGAGTACCAGGATTAAATTTGGGATTTTAAACATAATCAGAACCCTCCCCACCCCCCAACTGCACAGAGGATTTTAACAAACTAGACAGTAGTAGTGTTGGTCATACTTGGTACTTGGTTAGGCCATTTTAGGGGTTTATAAGAAATAGATTTTGACCCAGGAATGCAGAGAACAACAAAAAAATACTCTGAGCAGAGATGTTAGTAGAAAGCACACCAACATTTTTTGAGCTTTGACTATTTGCCTGACACTGAACCAGCCATCTTTTTTACAACGACTTGGAGAGGAGGTGTTATCACCCCCACTTTCCTGTTGAGGAAATTGAGGTTCAGAGAGCAAGTCAATTATAGAGCTAGAATATGAACCTGAGAGCATAGGCCTGTCAAGAGTGTTGGGGGAACTCTTTCCATTATACCAAAATAACCAGCTTCCTTTTGTGCAGCCAAGAGCAGTGGCTACACTGAGTAGGCCGGTGGGCCATGACATTGATGAAGTTTGGAGTAAGAAGGAGCCCATCTCCAGAGTTGGTGGACCCAAGTGCTGTTTTCAGGATGTGGAAGTCATGTCCCCACCAGCAGTGGGATCTGCTCCTGCTTTGCTTTTCCAGTAGTGACAATGGCTTGATTGGAAGCAGCCATTCTCTTGGGCTCATCTCTGCAGGATCATTGCCTGAGATATCAGGGTTGGTCTGTGACCAGCTATGTAGGAAGGCTGGCTTAACTGACAACCCTTGGCTACCCTAAAATGTTCACAATCACTCTGGGCAGATGAACCATAAAAGTAGTGAATTTGGTAAAATTGTACACGTTTGATTTACATTACTTGGGAGAAAATTCTTCATGAAGGAAGTGAAGGATTGATCATAAAACCTGTCATTCCAGGCAATATTTGCAGTGCTAGAGATGGTAAAGATTGGGCTGTTTTGAGTTGGGCTAATAGCTGAAAAGATGGAGGTATGCACGAGTGGGTGGGCAGTGCTTTATTTCTGTAACATTGCCAGTATTAATTTATGTACTTGGAAGAGTCTAATCAGGCTCTTGGATATTCTGAGTTTAGTTAAATAGAAATTTTTCAGCTGGTGGGGGTAGCACAAGGGTTGCTCTGACCGTGCTGAAGTGAATTGCACAACCAGAGGATTAAAAGCCCCAGTGACAGCTTTTTGTTTCCCTTTGATTTATGTATACTTACCTGCCATTTCCTTCCTCTCTGTAAGATGTTTGTAAGTATTGTTTGTCTTTTTGTTCCTCATCCAGCATTTGAGAGTAGAAACTTCTATCTCTATTGATCTACTTTGTTGACTGAAATCATAGAAGTTCTGATTTGGGTTCTCCAAAGTTAGGCATGTGTACAGTTGCAGCATCTTGGAACAGAAATTATAATGTTCATCACAGTGTTTTGTTGACAAGTTTTTTTTAATCCAGTGTGTGTTATGTGCCCAATGCTGTGCTCCGTCCGGATTCATGGTCCTTTACCATGCCGGTGTGATGCCTTCAGTTTCAGACCGCTTACCCTTCAGTTCAGATACCACCGACCCCAGCTGGCTCCCTGAATATACTTTCTTTGTCTAGGGCTTTCTAGAGACCGGAATATCCCTCTACACGTATCTTTGAATACCCTTTTACAATGGAGTTTCAAGTTTGAATTGAAGAACTACAGAAAACTAGATATGCCCCAACCCTAGGCCACAGCGTGGTGTCTTGGATAGAACAAAGATTCTGGGTTTAAGAGACCCAGTTTTGTCTAAGCTCTGCCACTCACTGACTAGCTGTGATTCTTGGACAAGACTCTCTACCCTCTCGGAACAAGCATGGTACCCACGTATGTAAGGATATCCACGGAGAGAGAAGGCTGTTACTGACAGCAGATCTCAGCATTGAATTACTACCTATGGGGGAAACCCCTCCATTGCCTTTTAACCATTCTTTTGGGTGGTTTTAAAAGGATCTCTCAACCCTCATCCCCAGCCCCACCCGTTTGGGGGCTTATTGTCGTTACAAATGACTTTCAGTACATCTTTCCTCAAATCATTCATTGTTCACCTTAGAAAACTCAGTGAGCTCTGCTCTTATTTACTCTGAAAAATGTTGAGGTGCTAGTAACACAATTAAATATGTGGCAGTGGAAATCACCCCTAGGGACCCATCCTGTGTTCACTTCTGTAGTTGAGATATTGAAAAATTCAGCCAGGAATCAAAAAAAAAAAAATTGGAAAATACATGTTTTATACATTTAAAAAAACATTTCATGGGACTTTTGGATTGTACCAGTCTTAAAAAGGGAGGAAGGGTAGGATGTTCGAAAACTCAGTTAGACCCTTTTTTTTTTTAAATTTTATTTATTTGACAGAGAGAGATCACAAATAGAGAGAGAGAGAGAGAGAGAGAGAGAGAGAGGAGGAAGCAGGCTCCCTGTCTAGCAGAGAGCCCGATGTGGGACTCGATCCCAGGACCCTGAGATCATGACCTGAGCAGAAGTCAGAGGCTTAACCCACTGAGCCACCCAGGCAGCCCCTCAGTTAGGCCTTTTAAGCCTGTGATATTGAGAAATAATATTGGTCCTTGTTTTCTTGTCCTCAACAGTTACATAATTCAAGAATTACCACGTTACTCCTAGCCCAGGTTGTGGAGTTGAAGGAACTGGTTTTCCATGGTATAGAGCTGAGGTTTTTGTAGTAAGTGATAGATGGCTTCTTCCTTCGTTTGTGATTATAATACCAGGAACTCCCCTTCAAGGCTGCATGGCCCATTTCTATCTGCTCTGTCTTCCCAGAATCCTTGTAGATAAGTTAGAGGATCGGCTTTGCCTCACAGAGAGATAAACAGACAGAGAGCGGCTGAAACACTGATGGGAAGGAAGACATGCCCTCCTCCCTTTCTCTTCACTTCAGCTCTGGCTCATTTCTCCCTCCGAAAGTCTATAGCATTTGTTACTTTAACCTCTTATCCTTCCATTCATCACTGCGGTATCATAAATAACTGTAATTTGTAGCTTGGTGCTTATTCTCTCCAAACAAATCTTAACCTCTTTCCATGCAGAAGCCACTCTGTGTTTTTTGGTTGGTTTTTGATCATTGGTCCCCTTCTCTGCCTCACCCAGGTTTGGGCACAGAGACTGAGTTATTAACCTAGAAGTGAAAGTAATTGCAAATTGAGAC